ACCGTGCTCCTGTGACCTTGCTGTTTGAAGTTCACAAGGCCTTTCTCTGAGGCTGACTCTACTCCTTATCTGATGCTTTTCTTGACAAATGTTCCACATTCCTGGCATCTTCGGCATCCTGGGTCTCCACTGTAGTTTTGGCTCCATGATGAGGGCTTCACACACCGCCCTTTCAGGAGCTCCCTACCCTGAGACCCTGCGCCACAGCTGTCTGACCACTTAGGCCTTCCTTAAAAATCTGGGTGGAAGCCTCCGTGAGCGTGTAAGTTTTCTTGCATTCTGTATGCCTGTAAAACCAGCACCATGTGAATGATGCCAAGGCCTGCCACCAGCTTGAGAAGTAGCTGGTTCCTCCTTGAAACATAACTGCAGTGGCCTCTGAGTGCCAGAGTGGCTGAACCTGGGAAAACATTTGCCTAGGATGCCCTGTGTGTGCAGAGTGCCTAAGCTGCTCTCTCTTCCCAGTTCAAATGAATGTACAGTTTTACACTCATGCCTGTGACGTTTGAGGTCTAGTAATTTTCTCTTGTCTCACTGACAAGAGAAAAAAAGCTTCTCTTTTATGTTGTTTTAGTTTTTGTTTTGAGACAGGGTCTCACTATGTAGCCTTGGCCGTCCAAAATTTGCTATGTAGACCAGGCTGGCCTCAAACTTACAAAGAGCTACTTGCCTCTGCCTCTTGGGTGTTGGAATTGATTAAAGGCATGTGTCTCAATGTCCAGCCTAGCTTAATTTCTCTTTACTGCACTAATTTATTTAACATCCACATTCTCCTTGTTCCTTTCAAATAGTTCCCTTTGAGAGCATATTGTATGTTTTTGTTTTGTTTTTAATATTTTATCTATTATTTTTATGTGTATGTGGGTATTGCCTGCATGTAGGTAAGTGCACCTGTGTCGTGCAATACCTGGGGAGGATGGAAGAGGTTGTCAGATCCCTTGGAACTGGAGTACGGACGGTTGTTAGCTACCATGTGGGTGCTGGGATTTGAATCCGGGTCTTCTGCAAGAACAGTCAGTGTTCTTAACCACTGAGCCATCTCTCCAGCCCCTGAGAGCATATTGTATGTTTTTAAAAATATTTTATTTGGCCAGGCATGGTGGCGCACACCTTTAATCCCAGCACTCGGGAGGCAGAGGCAGGAGGATCATTGCAAGTTCAAGGCCAGCCTGGTCTACACAGTGAGTTCAGGTCAGCTGGGATTACAGGGAGACCCTGTCTCAAAAAGACAAAAAAAAAAAAAAAAATTTATTTGGAGCTGGGCGTGGTGGTACACGCCTTTAGTCACAGCACTTGGAGGCAGAGGCTGGCAGACCTCTGTGAGTTCAAGGCCAGCCTGGTCTACACAGTGAGTTCCAGGTCAGCTGGGGCTACAAGGAGACACTGTCCCCAAAAGACCCCTCCAAAAATTTATTTGGGGGGCTGGAGAGATGGTTCAGTGATTGAGAGCACTGACTGCTCTTGCAGAGGACCTGGGTTCAATTCCCAGCACCTACATGGTAGCTAACAGCTGTTCCTAACTCCAGTTCCAGGGAATCTGATGCCCTCTTCTGACCTTCTCAGACACTGCATGACATGGGTACACTTACACACATGCAGACAATACATTCATATACATAAAATAAAAATAATAAATAAAAAATTTTTTTGAGACAGGGTCTCCCTGTAGCCCCAGCTGGCCTAGAACTCACTATGTAGACCAGGCTGGCTTTGAACTCACAGAGATCTGCCTGCCTCTGCCTCCCAAGTGCTTGGACTAAAGGTAAATAAAATATTTTTTAAAAGATTTAAAATTGCATGTATATATGTGGGGGTTGGTCGGAAGTAGGTATACAAGTCAGGTGGCACAGAGGCTAGAAGACAGCTTTGGATCTCCTGGATCTGGAGTTATAGGCAGCTGTGAGCTACCCAGTGTAGGTGCTGGGAACCAATTTTGGTTCTTCTGTAAGAGTAGTACACAGTCTTAACTGCTGAGTAATTTCTTCATGTCTTGCATGTCTTTCAAATATTTCCACTCTGCTTTTTTTTCCTCCTTCTTTGGACAAAGTCTCACACAGCATAAACTGAACTCACAAGGGTTCCTTGAATGTCTCATCATCTTGCCTCCACATCTTGAGTGCTGTGATTACAAGAGTATGCCACTACACATGGTTTCTGTGGTGCTGGGGGTTGAATCTATGGCTTTTTTGGAACCATTCTGACATTCCCTTCCAAAATCAAAAATTCTAAAAAATAGATGGTCATAGTTATTCATAGTCACAACCCTACTCCTGGTACTAATTTTCTGTATTAATTTTCTTTTAATTAATTAGTTTTTGTGTGTGTCTGAAAAGATAGGAAAAATATCAATTTAAGAAAGGAAGATTTGTGGGTTGGAGAGAAAGCTCAGTCATTAAGAGCACTGACTGCTCTTACAGAGGACCTAGGTTCAATTCCCAGCACCCACATGGTAGCTAACAGGTCTGTAACTCCAGCTCCAGGGAAATCTGACTTCTTCTGATCTCCTCGGGCACTGCATGACACACGTGTTTACACACGCAGGCAATACACTCATACACATTAAAAAAGTAATAAAATATTTTTTAAAATTTAAGAAAGGAAGATTTATTTTAGTATAGTTTCAGGTTCAGTTCATCATGGTAAAGGGGGTATGGTGTCACAAAGCAATTCAAATCATGGTGGGGCCAGGAAGCAGAGAGAGAGAGAGAGACAGGAAACAGCCAGGGAGAATATGCCCCCAAGGGCCCACCCCCAGTGACCTACTTCCTTCAGTTTAGCCCCATGTTCTAAGTTTCTAGAGCCTCCCAAAATAGTGCCACTATCTTAGGGACAGAGCACTCAAATCATGAAACTATGGGGGACATTACATACCTAAATCATACAGTATATGTATCTGGCCTTGAACTTATGATCCTTCTACCTCAGACTCCTGAGTCCTGGGATTACAGACATATGCCACTATAAGCCTTTGTTTACTGTGAGAGAATTCTTTCTTGCCTAGCTGGAACTTGGAGCTGAACCTGGAGAGGCTCCCAGAGGAGTGGCAGGTGGGCACATCTTGTATTCCTGAGTGGGTGTCTGAGTCTACATTCCTGGAGAAGTCCTGGTCATGCCCTTTGTTTAATCAGCTTCTTGTTCTCAGGTCAACAGCCCCCATTCTAAGGATCTGAACCAGTTTCTTCAAATCATCAAGATGTCAGTTCATTGCTATTCACTCCTAACCATCTGATAAACGTGAGGTCAACACTGTAGAAAACTTCAGCAGTCTATAGAAGAGACTAGATGGGGCAGAGCCCACTGCAGTCCTCCTGACCTGAGCTGGGCTGAGATTCTAATGCTCTAGATGTCTAGATGTTCATTCTGTCTCCCCCTGTTTGGGGTTGAGGGAGGGAGATGGCAATCATTATCCTTATAATAAGATATGAACAGACATAACAGTCACATTTTCAAATTAAATTGTGTGAAGTCACACACACACATACACATACACACACACACACACACACACACACACACACACACACACACCACACACCACCACCATATACAAACTCTTGGGCTCTTTCATCTAGAGATGGGCTTTGAGGAAATGAGTTTCAAATGAAGATAGAGGCAGGTAGCATTCCTTTGTCCCCCTTCTCATTAGCACTGGCCATGGAGCCATCAACTATGAGAAGGGACCATAAGGTGATGTGAACAAAAGGATATGCATTTAAAGAATTAACTGTTTAGGTTAGAAGAATGAGAACAATGTAGGCAAGCAGTCACAACTGGGCAGACACACCCTTTTGGCTTCCATGTCATCATAATATGCTGGCCCTCCATCCCTCTCTGCTCATCCCAGGCCACATTATAAACGAAGCCAGTCATTGCTGGCCCCTGCTCTTTACGGGTCTTTCTCCCTGTTCTTTGGGATCTGTTTTTTCTCTATGAATTGACTCTTTCTCCATTGTTCCACGTCAACCTAGGGTAGAACCTGGGATTGGGGCAGGACAGAGAAGATGGCGAAAGGTTCCACAGTGTCTGAGCTCTTGGAACATGATATCCCTCTGGCCAGAAGCTGAGCACCATCCAAAACTGTTACCAGGACTTCACTTCCAGGACTAGCCTGGGCATCTGGTGAGTAGAAGCCCCCCTCCTCATTGCTTCTCATTTTCCCCTCCTCTAAGAGAGACAGAGATGGATCATTGACTGAAGTTTAACATTTCCTGAGACAGACAAGAAAAAGTAAAGGAGGTACTAGAAGTCATGAGTCTGGGTCTCAAGAACTGGAGAACTTAGTCTTCGGACCACCCCTTAGCCCACTGCCCCACCACACACCTATGCCACAACAGCATGTTAGTAAAAAAAAAAAAAGGCAGTTGTTTGGATCCACTAATTTATTCTGATGAGGCAACATAGTCACATGGTTCAAAATTCAAGATGTACGGAAGGTGTGCAGTGCCAAGTTCCCTCATTCACCAACTTCCTCTCTAGGGGTGATCAGCATTACCTCCTCAAAAATGCAGAGATAAGCAAATATATATTTATATCCTCTTTATTTTTATTTTTCATTTTTAAATATTTATTTTTATTTATGTGTCTATGTGTGTGTCTGTGTATGGGTTTATACACATGAGTGCGCATGCTGATGGAGGCCAAAAGAGGGCATTAGATCCCCTGGAGCCAGAGTTACATGTAGATGTGAACCATCCGGCATGGGTGCTGGGAACCAAACTTGGGTCCTCTGTAAGAGAGTACATGCTCTTAAATGCTGAGCCATCTCTCTAGTCCATTTCTTTTGTGTTTAACAATGCTAAGGATTAAACTTTGTAACATGCTAGGCAAATACTCTACCACTGAGCCAAAGTCCCAGCTCTTTGTTTAAAATTATTTTGGGGGGAGGTCTTTTTTGACATAGGGTCTCCCTGTAGCCCCAGCTGGCCTGCTACTCGCTATGTAGACCAGGCTGGCTTCCACCTAACAGAGATCTACCTGCCTCAGCTTCCAAGTGTTGGAATTAAAGGCATGCACCACCATGCCCAGCTCAGGCCTTGGTTTGAGAGAGGGTCTCACTATGTAGTTCAGTCAGACCTCAAACTCTGATCCTCTTGTCTCTAACTCCTGAGTGCTATGGTCACAGTTGTGTACCAAAACATCTCCCTATATTCTCCTCCTTTTAAAAACACAAATGAGGCGTGAAATATATACATTTTGACCTTTTTCACTTGAAGGTCACCCCCTATTAGTATGGAATGACATATAAATGGTTTTCAACTTTAGAGATTGGATAGTAAGGCTATATCAGCATTGGGTCAGCCAATTCTCTAGGAAAGAATATTTCTTTGAACCATCCCCAGTGCAGACCCCAGGAGAGACAAGTAGTAAGGGAAGCCTAGAGCTGGTCCCACGGGGCCAGGCCCCTCCCCATCATACAGGCTCATTTGCATGGCTGCTTATAATTGGACAGCCTTCACTGGGGCATAGAGGGCCCAAGGCTGCTTGCTTCCCACCTTTGTTCCTCATACATGGTTCCTAGTGTCCCAAACAGGCAGCTGCAGAGCACTGAACCCACCGTCACACATGGCCCTGGAATAAAATGACCATTCTCTATGGTCACAGCACCCTCAAACCACTTGCAGCACTAGATAGAGGTGCTACTGTCTCTGTGACCATCTTCTTATAGAGAGCAAGCAATAAAATGGGCAAAGAAGCACACTCTGCCCCACAACAGACTCCGACTCCTGATATTGACAGATATTACATGACAGACAAGCATAGTCCTCTACAGTGAGGTGTCTCATTTCAACTTTGATACAGAGCAGGCAGGGACCTCAGGAGGAGGCAAGACAGAGAAAGGAAAGAAGGGACTTGTGAGAAAAGGAATGTTGGCAGAAGTCTCTTCTAGCTCATCCATGGATATGTGGGACTCAAGGGAGCCTACCTTGGGGTCTCCAGAGAATAATCACCATTGCAGGGTCTTCAAAGCTGATTTAACAATTTTTAGGAAAGCCGAAAAAAAAAAAAAAAAGAACCATCTGGAAAAGATATATACCCATCACTCCAGGCTCCTAGCCAAGCCATTCTTCTCCCAGAGGCAGGAACTCAGTAGAACTGGGATCAACAAAGCCCTTGTTCCTGAATATCAGGTATCACTGGCTCAGGATGCTCTAGGCGGGGAGTGAGAGGCAAGGGAGGGGAGCAGAACAGAGAGGACGAGAGGACATCAAGGATGTGGGGAAGGAGAAGAGGAAATCATTCTGCCCCATACAGCTGTTGTTTGTTGCATGCCTCCCACCCTGACCCTGGGTCCCTTGGCTAGACTGTCCATCCAGGACCACTTAGTTGTGAGCAAAGCCCGCATGGGAGAAGGCAGGGAGGTTAGGGGCACAAGTAGCAGTCTGGGACAGGCAAGCCAGGGGGTTGACCTCACAGGTCCCAGCATCCTGGTCCTTCAGGAAGTAGATGGAATCAGCAGAGTAGAAAGAGGGGTCTTCATCAAAAAAGTTGTAGGGCCGAAGGAAGAAGCCCACTCCATTCCCCACGGTCACTGTGTTGGGAATGTCTTCTGCATGTGGGATGTGCAGAAAACCAGCTGTCACCCAGGCCACCAAGTCCTAGCAGGAGAGAAAAAAGATCATGTGATCTGCTAGACATGCCAACCCTGCACAGTGGCCTTTCAGGGAAGTCAGTTCATTAGCCAATGGATCTTGAATCTTTAAATATTTTTTCCTTCTGATGTCAAAACAAAAAGCTCTTTCCATTCTGGGAGCAACACTGTTATCTCAGGGCCTGGCTTGCACCTGATCTCCAATGTTTTCCATGACACAGCCCTCTGCTTACCCTCCCCAGAGGGTGATACCCACAGGCTACTTCAGCTCCTCTCTCCCAACTCTCCAAGACTCCTTAAAGTACAACTCTGGGGAGAAGCATGGAAGAGGGACCATCAGGCGTTGGAAGGCAGAAGTAGGCTGATATGGAAGATACCTTCAGCAGTCAAGGCAGATGGGAAATATGGTTTTCCCTGGTAATGCTTCCAGCTCTACATGAGTCCTAAGGCCTGGAAGGGGCTCTGTCCCCAAAGCTGTGACTCTGAGGGTTTTAAGCTTGAGACAGATCCCTGTCTTCACCCAGTGTTTGCACATGACCTCCCAGCTCTGGAAGATTCTTTCCAGCAGTAATGATCACTAAAGTGCAGATGACAAGAGTCAGCTCTACCTCTGGAGAATTCAGATGGTTCTCAGGGACCCACCCAGGAGAAAGTGAGGTTCAGTCTTGTACCCCACTTGTCCACCGCCACAGTCAGCTTACCTCTCCAGCAATGGTCTCATTGTTGATGAAATCAGCAAAATCCACAGTAGGGGTCCACGGGTCATTCTGATTGAAGATGCTAGAGCTACTGGGCTCCTCTTCTTTCCGCTGGGTCACAGCTAAGTGGTACCTAGAAAGGCACTGGTCAGGCCTCCATGGTCTCTAAGCCCATCCTGATGCCTGCTTATGAAGAAAGAGAGCTCAGTGCTCCCGCCCTGCTTATGCATGTGCTCACAGCAATGTTAGGCTACAGAATCCATCACCTATCTGCCATTTCATCATATACACCTTCCTCCACCCCAAATGGAAAAGAATTCTCCCTCTCTAGCTTTTGCTCTCCAAGGGAAATGAGCCCCACTATGCACAGGTCAGGCAATGTCCCCAAGGCCTAACAAACAGTCTCAACTGTTTCCAGGTGTCCCTTTACCATTCTGGCTCCATTCCCATGCTTACCTCCCCAACCTCCCCTAACTGCCCACCACTCACCTTCCCCAGCTGAAGGCTCTTTCTATGGAGCTGCTCCGAGGCAGCGGATCCCCAGCAAAGCTGAGTGTCTGGATGCGGTAGGCCCGCCCATGACCCCACTTGTTGCTGTGGTTGCTGGCCAGGTACACATAGCGTGGGGTTGCACCTCCCAGGGGGAAGGCTGCCTGGTCTTCTGTTTCCAACAGCTTCTGTGTCACCTGCAGCCTCTGTATCTGGTGCTCAGGGTGCCATGGCACAGATGAGGGTACAAAGGTCATGTCTTCTGCCCAGGCCCAGTTCTTCAATCCTATGTAGAGCGTGTCAAGGCTGGTCATATGATGACCCTGGTCCTCTCTAGCCCCCATTTGCAACCAAAAAGCAGCTCAGGACTGACTGCAGCCTCTGCTTCCCTTCCCTGTCCCAAGATCTCCCCAATCCTTCAGACAACACTGTTAATCTATAAACTGAAATATTTTTCTAGGATCTCATTCATTCATCTTTTCAATTCCTTTTAGTGGTGAGGACTGTGCTTGCCCTGGAGGACAAAGCTGAATAAAACCCCCACCATTACCCTCAGGCTCTTACCCCAGAGGAGTAAAACACAGGCTGGCCTGCAGGGTGGGGAAGCTCAAGTGAGGCAGGGTAGGAGTACTGGTGCTGGCAGGGACAGGACCACGCCAGCCCCCAGGGGAAACCTTCAGACTATCCTTCAAGGTTATCTTCAAGAGAATGGACTTGGAAAGTCATTCTAGGCAAGAGTAAAGTTAAAACAAAGAATCTGTGGGCTGTGCATCGAGAACCAGGGAGGATGTGTGCGCAGCCAAGGCAGAACACTGGGAAGAATCTCAGGGCAGGTTGGAGCTGGCCCAAGAAGGGAAGCACCTGGTAAGTCATTCTGCAGGTGACATCCTGCAGGTGCTGTGGAAGGGGGGAGGCCGTTGGGGGTGGCAGGCTAGCATGGGTGGGGCAGTCATCCCTCTGTACACAGCGTGGACCTTGGAACTGAAAGTGTAAGAGCAGAGGTAGCAGTAGGGAGGTGGGGGTGAGTTTGAGGGAACATGGGGGAGGGGGTTCAATGTGACCAATTTGATACACTGCATCAAATTCTCAAAGAATCAATAATATATATGCATTAAAAGAGTGGAGGTAGTAGAGAGGGTTGACAGGGACCCAGTGAGGGTTCTAAGGTATTTCAGAGGCAGGAGAAAAAAAAAATCAGTGTAGAGAAGAAAAAAAGGGAAGGACAAAGTCTCCAGGAAATCAGAAAGCATCGGTTGTCTGTGACCACAAACTCCAGGAACTATCTGGAAATCTCCTGAGTATCCAGTATACTCCTGTAGTAAAGTGAATGGCACCCAGAGAGTGATGGAAATTCAGGGGAGAGAAGGGCCCATCTTCCAAGGAAGTGTAGAACAATGGTTGTGGCATGCATGACCGGCTTTCACAACAGAAGGCAAACATCCTCCAACACCCCAGCACCACAGGCCAGACACAGATCCCAGTTGATAAACAAACAGCTGCTTCCTTGAAGGCCCACATAAGCTCAAAGGACCCTGTGAAACTAAGTCCTACCTTCTTCCTGAGTTTAGTCATTCCCCAAGATTTTCTAAGGACATCACATGCATAGTTGGCAACTTTGCACCCACCCAGGCAGGGAGCTAAATCCAAATAAAACCCAACAGCCCACTCTCTCCCAGTCAGGCCAAAAGGAAATGTAAAAACCCTAATCTTTTTTTTTCAATGGATGGCCTACATGAAACCCACAGCAAACAGTTAACACTTAATACCCTCCTGGAAGAACCCTTGTCTCTCTCAGGACCTCTTACCTGCCACATCCAGGTCCACTTTGAAGTGGGCACTGTGGGTGTGCACTGTGCCCAATGTGTGCTGTGCAACTCGGTTCCCAAACCGTTTGCTGGCACCAAAGTAGAAGGCTGAGCTGATATAGCCTGTGGCATGGAATTTGACTTCTATGGCCCCATTGGAGTGGAAGACCATGTCCCACACATAGTCGTAGTTGAGCAAGGTGGACACAGATCTGACCACCAACACTGTCTCTGCAAGGCCCCCAAAATAGTGAGAGGAGAAATCTGAGTGGTGTCGCCTCAGGGGGAGGCCTTGGTTCTGTTCAAACACACAAAAGGCATCACGTAGTGTCTTGGGGGTCTGGGACTCCTGAAGGAAGTGCCAGTCTACATAGGTGGCCAGGTAGGGGCAGTCGACTCCACGGGTCAGGGGCGTAGAGTATTTGCCAATGCCAAAGTTACCATCCATATAGCAGGTCAGCATTGCTGCTGGGGAATTGCCACCATACAGGGCTATGGCTTCCTGGACGCTGATTTCATAGGCCATTCTTTCCCCCTGAAAGCGGATATCAAAGATCCTTGGGCCACTGAAAGCTCCAAGGCCAAAAGAGAAGGTCCACAATGAGGAGGCCACTTGAGTACCCTGGACACTGAAGCGGGGGCCCTGGGGATGGAACTGCAGAGGGGGAGCCGGACCTGGTGGCACTGAGGACTTCAGGGACCAGGACCCACCTGTGCCATTATTTGGAAGCAGTACCACATTCACCAGGCCAGCTTCAAACTGGTCCTCCAGCTGGGCCAGACTCTCATAGTAGCGACCTTGATAGAATACCTTCTGGATGGTCCACTGGGCAGGGTCCAGGGCCTTGTGGTCTACCAACAGTTCCAGTCCAATAGGGTGCAGGTAAAACCCAGCCCCCAAGAGGTTGTAATAGAGGCCAAACCAGGTAGCCCGGTCCCCTGATTGCAGGCCACGTGGGGCTGCGGTCATTGTCACTAGGTTGTGTCTCTGGTGTTGGTAGAAGCAACAGTGATGGAGGAGCCCAGTGGCTTGGGGCAGCTCTCTGTGGAAGATCATCTGGTCGATATCCAGATACTCTCTGGCCAGTACAGGACGGCGGTAATAGGGCAGGGGGCCACCATGCCGCTCCACAGTCACATCCCGCATGTAGGAAGGGTGAGGCAGAGGCCCCACCACCAGCTCACTCACATTGGGCTGAGATTGTGCACCAAAGAAGACGATGGCCAGTGCTTCCCGGGCAGGTGGGGGGCCCCCTCTGTCCAAGTGGGCCAGGGCTACAGCCTTAGGGGGCAGTTGCAGCTCTACTGAGAAAACGCAGTTGTCTGAGGGCCGAGCCTGGGCTGCATCCACCAGCCCTGGGCCCAGCTGCCGGGTCAGAAAGCTCATCACAGCTGTCAGCTCTTCAGGGCTCAGGTCTGCGAACAGGTGGCTCTGACCAGGGTGTGTCCGAGGCTGGGCACTGGGAGATACAGAGGGACAGTGGGGAGGTTGGTTAGGTCCACCCCCATCTCCACTCCTGCCAGCTAGCAAGACACAAACTAAGGCAAAGATTGTGATGACAGCCAGAGCAAGGAGTACCAGGGTGGTCTTCTGGGTCATCGTTCCTGAGTACGAACAGGTTTCTACCAGGAAAGGACTTCTCCTGCTGCTGGACTGGGGTCTCCAGGCCTCTAGCTGAGCTTCTCAGTAGTCTGAAGTCTCTGCCAAGGGTGCGAGGGAGCAGGGAGGGCTGGGGCCAGCATTGGGAGGCGGGTCTGAACAGGCTGCTGTGATTTCCACAGACCTTACAAGGCTTTGTCCTTCAGGCTCCAAATCAGATTCTGCTCTCTGGGTCAGGGTTGGGGAAAGCTGGGGTTGAGGGAAGGGGGAGGAAGCCAGCCTGTACATGGAAATCCACGACCAGCAAAGAGTTGGGTAAGTCTGATCCATAGCCCCTGTGCCCCCAAGACCAGTTTCAACTCCAACCCCCACCTTCCCAGGGCCAGATGTTCTCTTTCCTGTCACAGCTTCCAAGGAAACCCCCACTTCCAGCCCCTTTCTCAAGCAACATTCCTTGGCTTCTTCTACCCACCCCGCCTGTTTTCTGTTGCTAATTTCCTTGGCCCAGAGTCCTTAATATTCCCCCTGGGAACTGACATGCTTTCAAAAGCCAAACAGAATAAATTCAAGTGAAATTCCTGTTAGACATTTTATTATCAATTACACATAATAACTATTCCTCTTGGATACACCCACATGTGAAGACCTGGTGTAATGGTTAGATTTGAATGGTAGGATTTGTGGGGTTTTTTGTTGAGTATTCAAAAATCATTTTTATAAGTTTGTCATTTTAAAAATGGGCAGAAAGGAGGAATCAGTCAAAGAAATACACAGGGTTTTCATGTGGGAAGAGACTATTTCTTAAGGAACTGAGGCTGTCAGCCCAGGGAGGTGCGATAAAAACAAAGGGCAGGAAGAGCAGCCGAGTGAAGGTGCATGCTCACTTCCCTCTCCCCCATGGTTTCAGCCTATCCTCAGCCTAGAAGCCTTGATAGGAGAAGGAAGGCAAGTCTGGGACACAGGCTGCCAGCTGTGGGGTGCACGCCACAGGATTGGCACTGCAGAGGCCAGCATCCTGGCCCCTTTCAAAGTAGACATTGCCAGGGGAGAAGATGGAAGGGTCTTCATCAAAGAAGTTGTAGGGTCGGAGCAAGAAGCCCACTCTGTTGCCCACGGTCACTGTGTTGGGGATGTCCTCAGCATGGGGAATATGCAGGAAGCTGGCTGTCACCCAAGCCACCAGATCCTGCAGGAAGAGGAAGAGGAGGACTGGAGGACTTTGGAGGCAAGAGTCAAAGAATCATCTCAGGCATGTTCCCAACCTCCAGCCTTAGAGGCTGGTTTCTGCCTCTGCCCAGCCACATTCCTATACATAATACCTAGTAACCTGCATTAAGAGGGGTGTCAGTGACACATGGCTAATTTCTCCCCAGTAAGTTTGACCTATGTTGGTCCCCATATTAGGACTAGAAACCATTCTAAGCTTTGACTAGAAGCTGGGCAGCCAAGATGCCAGGAAAAGAAAAGCTGTTCTCTTTCTAAAGCCACTAACCTCTCCTAGGAGGGTTTCATTGTTGATGAAGTCAGCAAAGGCCACAGTGGGGGTCCTTAGGTCATTCTGGTAATATATGCTGCTGCTCTGGGACTCCTCCTCCTTCCTCTGGGTCACCACCAACTGGTATCTGACCAGGAATTGTAGGAAGGTAGTGTTGGATAAATGAAGAGCTTTACCAACCCAGAAGTCCTTTGAGACTCTGGGACCATTTCCCATATTATATCCACCTGGATCTAAAGGCAGATTCAGGGTAGCAAGTCTAAGGTCTGTAAGGGCCAGAAGGGGACAGGTCCTTCCTTCACACCCATTCCCAGGGCTTGCCTCACCTCCCCCAGCTGAGGGCCTTCTCTGTGTCACTCTCCAGAGGCATGTGTATACCAGAGGGACTGTAGATCTGGATTCGGTACCCGCGCTGGTGACCCCAGACATTGGTCTGGTTGCTAGCCAGGTAAAGGTAGCGGGGAAGGGCGCTTCCCCAGGAAAATGCAGCCAAGTCCTCCTTGCTCAGGACCTGCCGGGTCAGCTCCGGGCGCTGCAGCCGATGCTCCGGGTTCCAAGGGGCTGCCACGGGTTTAAATACCACATCTTCAGCCACCACCCAGTTTTGCAGCCCTGTCAGGGTGAGGAAAGAGAGAGTTCCACACCTGGTAGGGTTGGTCAGACAGGCCTTGTGGCTTCCTTGATGCCCCTCACACTGGCCTGAACAAATATACCAGTATACCAGTGAGCATGCCATGCTAGGAGCCGAGTCTGGGTGCTAGCTCCTATCTTCCAATCTGCCATGTTCAAGGATAACCATTAGTCACATATGGCTCTTTAAGTACACACTATTCTCTAGTCACACTAGCCATATTTAAAGGGCTCAGTATCACTGAGCACAGTGGCACACATCTGTGACTTAACATTCCTGCAGAGGCAGATGACTGCAAATTCAAGATCAGCCTGATCCAAGACAATCAGGGCTTCATACTAAGTATGTGAGACCCTGATAAAACACAAAGAAGTTCAAGGCCACCCTATTACATTGTAAGATTCAGTTTCAAGATACAAAATACACATGGCTAGAGGCTCTTGTATATACACACAGTACAGATTGCTCAATAAATGGAAAGCCAGGCATTGGTGGAGCATGGCTTTGATGCCAGCACTGGGGAGGCAGAGGCAGATTGCTGTGTGATTAAGGCCAGCCTGGTGTACAGAGTTCAAGGCCAGCTGGAGCTACAGGGAGGCTCAAAAGATAAAAAATTTTTTAAAAAGATAAATGGGAAAGGACATGCAGCTGACTGGTTACATTCTTGTTAGGAAAAACCCAGTCCCCTTCCAATCCTTGTTATATTCCTCCCAGTTCTGGGGCATCAACTGTCTCAACAAAGTAGATATACTTCCAGTCTCACAAAAGTGAAATTTAGCTGGGCATGGTGGTGAATACTTTTAATCCCAGCACTCAGGAGGCAGAGGCAGGAGGATCTTTGAGTCTAAAGCCAGCCTGGTTTATTGAGTTTCAGGGCTACATAGTTGAGACCCTGTCTCAAAAAAAAAAAAAGAAAAAGAAAAAAGTGTGATTGATAGCTTTCCACCATCATCCAGGAACATCTTGGGTTTCTATTGTACCCAAAGTCTGCATCATCTAACACAGCACATGATCACTCTCTTCCCGCTGGTTGGGGCTTTCAGTTCTTTAAATGTGATCTACAAGAAGGCACCTCTGGCCCCATATCCAGGAGCCCATAATGTACACGCTAGTAACTTAAAGTACCTCTTGTGACTTCCCAAAGCAGGCTCTTTAAATGACAAAAAGGCGAGGAGAAACTTCCAACTGGAGTCACAGTCCAAGTATGTCAGATTAAAATCTATTTCTATCATGTTATATTTAGCTCTCCCCCGCCGCACAACCACCAGAGGAGGACACATAGTGCGCAGGGCACATGCCAGGGCTTCAGGACATCTGCTTGTTATTCTACTGCACTGCACTTGAACAGTCGCTTCTGGGCCCCTCTCCCCTGCCTGCCTTAGTTTCCCCAACTGTAAAATAGAAGTCTGGTGGATTTCTAGATTTTTTTTGGGGGGGGGGGTTGTGTGATTTAATGAGTTTTTCTGTTCTCCATAGAATCTGCCAAGAGCTGCAAGCCTTGAGCTTTGAGCCCTACTAGAGAAATGCTTTTCCACACTTGTGGCCAGTCTGAGACATGTCACAAGCACTGGAGTTCTCCACAGGGCAGAGCTTGCCCTGATACCGCCATCCCACAAAGCAGGTCTATCCCTACCTGAAAAATTTTCAGCCAGCCTTCTTATGCCCATGCCTTCTCCAGCCCTATGGATTCTCAGCGCAGCCAGCCAAGTGCATGGCTCCAGAACCATCCAATTCTGACAGGGTCAGTTCACTCTCCCAGTGTCCCTCAAGGATAAGGAAGCCAGGCACAGCCATTATACTTTAATCTAATTCCACAATTTCAAGTCCAAGGGGCCAGGGGATGGGAGCTGGACACAAGAACCCCTTTTACCTTTGGCCAGACACCCAATTCTGAATACAGCTGTGCTCAAGACACTCCTTGCTCCCCCCTATGATCAGAGATGTTCAGACTGTACTCCTAACCTCTTGGAGATCTGATTCATCTGGGGGCTTCCTGCCTGTACCCCATTTCCCAACCTTCAATCCTCATCCCAAGAACTCACCTGCCACATCCAGGTCCAGCTTGAAGTGGAAGGCATGTGTGTGCACTGTTCCCAGGACTTGTTTTCCCACACGATTCCCAAAGAGGAGGCTCTGGGTTTCTCCACTTAGGAAAGCTGTGTTGATATAGCCTGAGGCATGGACACGCCCTTCAAGTGCTCCATTTGGGTACAACATAAAGTCCCAAATGTAGTCATAGTTGCCCACAGATGACACAGACCTAACCACAAGGGCTGAGCTGGCCAAACCACCATAGAAATGACTCCCAATGTAATTGTGGTGCCTTCTAAGGGGTAGCCCCTGGGTCTCCTCAAATACACACACAGCCCCTGGGAGCAGCTGAACTGCCCCTGTACCCACTAATATATGGATGTCCACCATTGTGGCTTGATAGGGGCAGTCAACTCCCCGGACTAAACCTCGACTGTTCCGGCCAAGACCATAGCTGCTATCCAAGTATCTGGTCATCATTGTTGTGGGTGAATCAGCACCATAAACAGTCAGGCACTCCTGGACACTGACTTCATAAGCTACTCGCTCACCTTGGAACCGAATATCAAAAATCCTTAAGCCACTGAATACCCCATGGCCAAAGGTAAATGTCCAGAGGGGTGTTACCACTTTGCTCCCCTGTACACTATACGGGGGACCCTGGGGTGAGAACTGTAGAGGGGGGAGAGGGTCTGGGGTGACTCGAGACCTCAGGGAGGAAGCCCCATTTAATGTGGGTAGAGGGACTTGAATCACTTCTAGGAGGCCAGTCTTAAACTCCCCTTCCAACTGGGCTAAGTCTGCATAGTAGTGTCCAAGGTAGAAGACCTGCTGGACAGCCCAACGATCAGGGTCCAGGGCTTTGTGGTCCAGCAGTAGCTCCAGTCCCACAGGGTGAAGAAAGATACCAAGCCCTGAGATGTTATGGTAGAGAGCTATCCAGGTAGCCCGGTCCCCTGAGCGTGAGCCACTAGCAGTGGCATGCAGAGGTGCCAAGGTGGAGCCATTGTAGCTCAAGACAGAAGCCAGAAAGGTGGGTGCCTTGGGTAGCTCCACCTCTTTCAAATGCCTCCATATCTGGACAAACTCAGCTCTCAGCAAGGGACGCCGGTGATAAGGCAGGGGGCCACCATGCCGCTCCACAGTCACATCCCGCATGTAGGAAGGGTGAGGCAGAGGCCCCACCACCAGCTCACTCACATTGGGCTGGGATTGTGCACCAAAGAAGACGATGGCCAGTGCTTCCCGGGCAGGTGGGGGGCCCCCTCTGTCCAGGTGGGCCAGGGCTGCAGCTTTGGGTGGTAGTTGCAGCTCTATGGAGAAGATGCAGTTGTCTGAGGGCCGAGCCTGGGCTGCATCCACCAGCCCTGGGCCCAGCTGCTGGGTCAGAAAGCTCATCACAGCTGTCAGCTCTTCAGGGCTCAGGTCTGCAAACAGCTGGCTCTGACCAGGGTTTGTCCAAGCCTGGGTACCAGGAGGTATAGAGGGGCACCGAGGAGGCTGGCTCGAACCACCTTGCTTAGTCAGCAAGACATAGGCCAGAGCGAAAACAGTAACAAGAGAGAGCACCAGGAACACCAGCACCACCTTGAGATTCATGGCTGAAGCTGAGGGCTGTCATCAGTCCTAACAGCAGCTCTTTTCTGTTTCTAACATCAATGCAGGGCTTATATGCAGTATGATGGAGAGAAATGGAGAAAACTCCACCCTGTGGGCTGGACAGGAAATTTCTGGCCTTGACTTATGTAATTCTGTTCCAACTTTCAGTCCTGTGGTTTGTTTGTCATTACTTCCACATCTATAGCTTCTTCCTTGTTCCTAAATTCCTACAGTTAGCAGTCAGTAGCAACTATAGATTTCTATCATTTAGAGGGGACAAGGAGGCATCTAGACTAATGAAGAACTTTATCTTGTACCCTCAACAGTTCGGAGAAGGCAAACTGATGCACAAGCCTGGCCTATGTGACACATGCAGGAAACTAACAAAAGTTTTATTGTCATTATTTTTAAAGGCACTAATGAATCCTTTAAAAAAAAAAAGTTTCCTCTTCACAGAATTATACCCCAACCAACAGTTCCTGGATCCACTGCCCAGTCCAGCAATAAGCACTCAGTTCTGCCTGTGACCAAATGTCATGCCCCTGATTCAAAGTCTCATCAGGCCTTTTCTATATAGTTAGGAAGAGTGGCTGAGGTTCTGAACTGGACTCACTTGTTCAGATCTGTACCCTGATCCCATCTAAGTTGTGTGAGCTTAAGGAAGATTCTTGTCTATAAAGAAGGCATAGTAGGGTTTGGTGTCTCATGCCTATAATCCCAGCACTGAGGAGGATGAGGGAGGATTGCTGAGAGTAGAGGCCAGCCTGGGCTACACCATGAGTTATAGGTCAACTAGGTAAGACCCTGTTTCAAAAACCACAAACAAGAAAGCCGTAAAATTACCCTACAGATTGAAGACTGAAAGGTGATGATTACGCACAGTGTTTTAACACCACCAGACAGGGTAGACAGAACTGCTAGCTAGTGGCACTAGTCTCTGAAATGGAAGAGTAGATGTACCTCCACTGAGGGCCTTAAAATTTCACACAATGAGGGCTCACTGGAAACCAGAAGCCTACTTGCACAGTGGAAGTGAGGAAACTATTTCAGAGGGAGATGGAACTTCCTAAGAGCCCTCTGAGTAATTTTAAACCAAGACCAGTAGTCTCCTCAACAAACAGCATTGTTTAGAGAGGGAATGAGTCTGAAGGAAAGAGGGGACCGGGCAGGGCAAGCCCTGACCAGGCCATTCCCACGTGGAACTACAGCAGCCTCTACTGGCAGCTCATGGGTATCACCGAGGAAAGAAGGAACTGGGATCTTGCACTGGGATAGAAGGCAGCTTGGGTTTAGGAAAAGCTTTTACATAATTCAAATAAACACAATGAAGGAATCACCCTTCCCTCTTGCTGGGCAGAAATTTCAATCTTCCCACTATCTCAGAGAAAACAGATAGCTCAGCTGGCAAAAAGACACACAACAGGGTGGCCAGAGGCATCTGTAGAGGTGGGGGTCTGAATGTTTGTGCACCATCACTATGCCCCTAGTCACCAGAGTACGGCACCAGGGTCTGCAGCTTTAGAAAGAGGTCAAAGTACCTGTATTTTTAATAATTTCTTGACATGGTAAAAGAATCTTACATTACAATCCAAGGGCGGTAGGGTGAGGAAGGGCAGTGGAACAATCAAACAAAAAGGGAAACTGAGAAACACATGGTTGGAGGAAGGAAGGGGTTTAGCTGGAAGGGATCTGAGGGGTGGATAGGAGTACTGCCCAACTAAAATGCAATTGGTTTGTTACTGAGCACTATTCATGGAAGAGAGCATCCGACTCCTCTTCTACAGAACACTGGGAGTGAAAGGGACGCATCCCGGGTGGAAATAACGACGGAGTTGGAAGACAGACAGAGAAGAAAAGTCAGACAGATGCTGAGTCACTGGCAGGGTGGCTGCAGGAGTCAACTCTCATTAGAGAATAAGAAAAGCGGGGGGCTCACAGGGTTAACAGAAAGGCTGGAACAAGTGACATCTCTGGAAGATTTGAGAGAGGAGGCAACTCTTCTATGGGTTTCATTTGCGCAGCATATTTATACACACACACACACACACACACACACACAAATGTGCACGTGTATGTGCACACACACATATACACAAAATTACTGCTTTCCCTGGAAGCACAATACTATAAATAAAGAGAAATGTTTCCCAGAGGAAAAGGAGCAGCATCATTCGGACCTCACACCCTGTCTCAATGTACGACTGCCCTGGGAGAAGGCAAGCAAGAGTCGGAGGACAAGCCTTTGCATAACACCAAAAAGAACCTGAGTCACAGAAGAAGGGGCCTTCATCAGCTCTCTGCTTCTCGGCTCTTGGTTCTCCTTCAACTTACCCTGGGCACCAAGCAGCTACATTATCGGGAGAGGATGGGCCTGGGACTTCTGCCTGGGTGGATGGCTAAGATAACTATCACCTGCTGAAAGGTGTGTGTATATGACAGGGGCTGAGGGGGTTGGGGTGCAGGAAGGAGGGCTATGTTGTATAATGGGTAGGAGGCATGCATGCATGTCCCTGTATGTGTACACATGTGCATGTGAAAACCCTGTTACAAAAACTTCCAAAGGCGCTCTAGGGACTCAGCTGAAGGTTTAACGTGTCCCTTGTCATGCTCAGATTCAAAGTGGGATGTATGGAAATGGAAAGCCCTAAGTGATCACCAGGGCAACTGTGGCAGGAAGGACCCAATGTCCCAGAGAAGCAAGAGACACTAGCCTTATGACAGGAAGAGAGATGTTTCTTCTACCTCTGCTACCCCAGGTCCTAGAAAACCCTTAACACTTTCCATACAGTTCCTTCAGCTTTTAACCAACTAATCAAAAGGAAGAAAACACAAAACTTAGAAGACAGGAAGGAGGGAGAGAAGGGGAGAACGAGAACCACACAAGTTTTCTTGTGCCAGCATCTTGCACAAACCTGGAGTTCTCCAGAAATTAGGACAGGCTGGGTGTGGGGTATTAGGGAAGGAGACAGAAGAGTTCCTGAGGCCTGAAAAAAGAGGTAAACACGTCACAGAACTAGATGAGTTTCATTAGACTAACTAAAAACAGAGAGGTGTGATTACTATTTCCAGCCAGTTTCCCCATCGCGATCGTCATGTAACAAACCAAGGCAGTATCGGTCTTGAGCCAGACTCACAGAGTCCCCTGGCCCTGGCCCTGGCCCTCAGTACAATGTCTCTGCATTGCTGCTCCGGGGCCGTTTGATCTTCTCGATATTTTTCAGGATCATATCATGTAGAGTTACCTAGGAAAGGAGACATCAGTAAATCACTCATCTGTTCCATTCCTACCTCACCAAGAAAATGAGCTACCGCAACAAAGCCCCCAACATTCATGTCATCCCAATCTCTCATTTGAACCAGTGTTAAGGAAGGCTGCACTACCTCTCCTGTACACCTGGGCTGGCTGTACACAAGGCCAGCTTGCCAAGGCTCCAAGTTCCTACACACCAAGCATTCAACACACCAAGAACTGCACTAAGTCCTTTACTATATATACTATTTCAGCCGGGCGTGGTGGCGCACGCCTTTAATCCCAGCACTTGGGAGGCAGAGGCATCTTGCATCTTTATGAGTTCAAGGCCAGCCTGGTCTACATAGTGAGTTCCAGGACAGCTGGGGCTACAAGGAGACCGTGTCTCAAAAAAAGACCAGCTTCTCATCTCACAAGAGTCCATCTGAGCACTGTCTGGCCGTGGGGCCGGTGCCCTTTTTTTACTTACACACATATATATATACACAATTTCAGTTACTATTAAAAGCTCATTTTTGTGTATTAAGTAGTCATCTAACTCCCATTTTAGAGAAGAAGCTGAAGTCTAAGATTGAACAAGATCAAGACCACACCTTACAGGAGTATGGTTCCAAACCTGTCTTTCTGACTCTAAGACCCATCCTAACCACACCATGTCTCCTATACCACCCTACTTAAAAAGAAAGATCCCCTTGATGATTTCATGGTCTCAGTACCCAGCTGATAAGCAGAATCTGTTTTACTCTGTTTTGTGAGGTTAAGGGTTTCACTATGTAGCCCAGGCTGGCCTCAAACTCTGGATCCTCCTGTCTCAGCCTCCTGAGTAGTTGAAATTATATACACCAAAACTACTCATTTTATTCTGAGCCCCAGAGTTTTCAAGAATTTATCACAGATCTAAGAGAAGCCAGGAAAACTGTGGGCAGGGACCAACTTTACTCACATATTGATTCCTCAGTTCTGATATTATGAGCCGGAGGCTGATATATTCTTTTTCATCAATCTCTGTTACGGTACGGCGATAGTCCTCCTGTATAGGGGGCAAGGGAAAAGGGTGGTCTTCTAAGGCCCAACTGCCCACAGCCAGTTCATTCCTAGTCATGGTCACTTTTATTGTGCCACCCCCAACCCCAGGCCACAAAACCCTTACTTACCACATGGGGATATTTAGCTATTTTAGAAACCAATTTGGCTCTTGTAATATAATATCTGGAAGGAGAAAAGAAGAGGCACAGCTGCAGGAGACCCTGACCATGCGTTTCATCACCCCAAGGTCCTGGGCCCAGCCCTACCTAGAAATCTGGTCCAGATAAGATGCAGCTTCACTCTCAACGGTTCTTAGTTCTGCAACTGTTTCCTCCTGGAGGGAAGAACAGGTGAGTTAAATTACTTCCACATCACTCCACAGCAGCGCCAAAGAAAAAGGGGAAATGGACAAAGCAGGGGAGGTCCAAGTACCTCCCCAGTTTGCACTGCAAGCATATTACCTGAATAGAGACCCCAAAGTTGTTCCCATCTTCTATTCTGGGAATTAAGAGCTGTACCCACATTTTGACCTAGAGAGTGAGAAAACCAAATATACAAATAAGGACCTTGGGTCCTTCCTGCTAAAGCCATGAAGTATGGGGACAGATGCCAGGGACAGAGGGATCAAGATACCTAGTCCACCAACCCCCACCCATCGTTTCATAATTCAAAATGAAGCTATTTGGGTTCAGGCCACAGGTCACTAGCCTGTCTCACCGTGTTACATTTCTCGATCAGCAGCCGGATCTCAGGTTTCACCTTCTCAATAATGTCTACCAGCTGCTGGTTACTTTTTAGCATCCCATTGGGCATCACAAACACCTTGGTTCCTAGAAGAGATGTGAAGGTCACATGTTTAGGGTAAGATAAAGGTAATAGCACTTTCGACCTTTCTCTTCTTTCCTAAGCCCCTGAGATGCAATGATCTTAGCTCTATTTCTTTTTCTTTGAGACAGGGTCTCACTATGTAGCCTGGCTGGCATGGAACTCTAAGTAGACCAGGTTGGCTTCAAACTCAGAGACCCACCTGTGTCTGCCTCCTGGCTGAGAATAAAGGCAGTACCAGACCCCAGCTCTGCCTTTTTGTTTAAAGATGGCTCAGCAGTTTAGGAGCACTGGCTGCTCTTGCAGAGACCAAGGTTGAGTTCCCAGCACCTATTATGTTCCAGTTCTAGGGGATCCAATGCCCTGTTCTGGCCTCCATAGGCATGGCACACATGTACTTACATAGATGCAAGCAAAATAGTCATACACATAAAATAAAAATTTTTTTAAATTTAATTTTGTATGTCCCCACAGAGGCCAGAGGGGCTAAATCCCTCTGGAGTTGGGAGCTATAGGTGGTTGTGAGCCACCCAACGGGGGTGCTGTGAACCAAACACATGTCTTCTGGAATAAGTGTATATGACCTTTGCCTTATATCTGTCACAACTCTACTACGACACCACTATCAGAATCACAGAGAGGTGTACGGACCAACAGATGAACAGCTAAAATGGGCCAGAACTTAGAAAGACATTAAAACAAATATATGCCTTATAGACAGACACCGAGTAATAATTATATTAAAAGGGAGAAAATAACATGGAACTTGGACTCCCATGATAAATCCGAGATGTGTGGAGTCTACCTCCATCCAATCTCTCTTGGCAATCCACACTAAGTCAAACCCTCCATGTATACTGGGAGATAATAATGATCATGTTTGGAGGACTTGTCAACGCTGATCCTGGGAAATAAAATCAAATCTCATTTTTTGGGCTGATAGCAGATATGGTGAGGTGAACTGGTTTGGGGCAGCTCTTACCTTGGAAGGCCTCTTCACATTCATCCAACCTGCGCTTCTTGTATGTGGGCTAAGGATACAAAAAGGCAGGCATTAGCTTGCCTTCAATACCCACATGCCCACCAAAAAACACTCCTCTAGCACGTTTAATCACTTCCTGGACCCCATAGGTTGTCTTAGCAATTAGGTTCTTGTGTCAAATTTACACTCTAGTTGAGAAGACCAAATCTACAAGAAATAAAACATTAAAGGCAGTTGAGGGGGCACCAGGCATGGTGGCATACACCTTTAAATCCCAGCACTTGGGAGGCAGAGGCAAACAGATGTTTGGTTTTGAGGCCAGCTAGGTTTACATATCAAGTTCCAAGTCAGCCAGGGCTAAATAGTGAGACTCTTGTCTCTCTCAAAAAAAAAAAACAACCCAAAAACAAACAAAGAGGAGTTGAGGGGGTTGCAAGATGGCCCAGTGGTTAAAGATGCTTGCCACCAAGCCTGACAACCTGATTTCAATCCCCGAGACCCACACGGTGGGAGGAGATAACCAATCCCTGCAGGCTGTCCTCTGACCTCTACTTGTCCATCATGCCCCACCCAATTTTTTTTTTAAAGCAGTTGAGCAGGGACAATTTTTTAAAAAATGGGAAAAAGGGCCAGGCATGGTGACACACATCTTTAATCCCAGCACTCGGGAGACAGAGGCAGGCAGATCTCTGTGAGTTCAAGGCCAGCCTGGTATATACAGCGAGTTCCAGGATAGCTGGGGCTACAGGGAGACCCTGTCTCAAAAAGACAAAAAAAAGGGGGAAAAAGGAACCAACCAATTTTGACTCCAAAATAAACACAATATTCACTCAACAAACACAGAAACACAAAACAGCACCCTCTACATGCCAGGAGCAACTTTAGGAGCCTAGAATTTCACTATGCATCCTGACTGGCCTTCAATTCACTAAGTAGCCAAGCCTGGCCTTGAACTCACAATCCTCCTGCCTCAGCCAAGCTAGGAGTGCTGGAATTACAGGCAAGAGCCACCACATTCAGCTTAATCAATTATAATTAAGACAGTTCAGGAAGCCAGAGATAAAAATCCGTGGTACAGTGTTTACCTAGATGCACAAGACCTTGGGTTTGACCTCCAGGACAGAATAAGGGAGAGGATTATCAGGGGTAGTAATGTAGTTTCAACAGTGCTATAACAGAATGTGGACACACGATAAAGCACAGGTGCTAAAGACACAGAGATCAGGACTACAATTATATAGCAAGAATGTCCCTTCTCATAGTAAGACATATCATGCTGAAAAGAAGTCTTATTTGGAATCACGGGAAGAGCCTAAGGAAGTCTGTAGCTGGTTTAAAACTATTTAAAACATGCTAACAGCAAGAGCAGCACAAACATGTTCATCTCATTTAAAATGAAAATAAAGGTCTAAAAAAAGTCTGCTGGAGTAATCATACCTAAAACAGAGTCTCAGATCCCACAACCAAATCCCACCATCCTCTGTATACATTCTGAAATGTGTCAGGAGCTAGAAACCAAGAACCCACTACTTAGGAATACGACCACAAACGTTAAGACACTCACACCATCCAGTCCATCGTGGCTATTGGTGAGAAGGATGGGGTCAGGGACTGGGAGATTCATGTCTGAGTGGATCTGAGTTAGGTCATGGATGTTTAGGATTGGTTCCTGAAAGAGACATTCACCCCAAAACAGCATTAGTTTTTTTAAGCCGAAAAAAATATTTCATGTTGAAAGACAAGAAATGAGAATTCTTCACAGTGCACAACAAAACAGAGTCAACATACAACTGGTCCCATTTATAACAAATATTGGGACCAAAGAAATGTGTCTTACCTTCAAAAAACTATCAAGTTCTAATAACTTCTTTGGGAAAAAATTTGCCACCAAGTCTTCTGCCTAAATAGAGAAAACATACCTGAATTAGTAAGTGTGGAAAGTAACTCCCAACTATTAACTAACGCTCATTTTCTTATTTACTTCACTCACCTCACTTGTGATCCGCTCTCTGAAAGAATCAACCTACAATGAACGAAGAGAGCGATTCAATACCTGGCAACCTAAGGACAAAGATAGAGTGCCCCAAATCCACCTGTCTCTCCCTCACCTCAAAATTATAATGAGAAAGTGACAGGCCCCAAGGCTGCAAAAACTTAATTTTTTTGAGGACTCATTTCTCCATTTCAGAAGTTATTGGGGCTTGAGGGCAGCACCTGTCTCTCCTCTCCTCTTCCTCCCTCCCTCCCTGGTCTGAACCTGTCTGAATTTGATAACCCAACACAAAGCAGACAGGAAGAAGTGAGCTCATAAACGCGCCAACTCCCACCCAGACGTGGCCTAAATCAAGCGCAGGGTCAGCAGCAGCGTCCGGGGGCGGGGACGTTGCTGGGCTGGGGGAACTTCCAGCTGTCACTACCTAAAGCATAGCGTCTAACGCGTGTCCGCGGAGGTGTCCCCGGGGCGCTCTGTCACCAGACGCGGGACAGAGCCACGCTACACCGTCCTCTCCTCCAATGCAGTCTCCAGGAGTGGGGGGCTGGGTTGAGCTGAGCGGAAGCTCGGAGCTGCTGTCCCCAGGGAGACAAAGGCGCCAAGGGGAATGGGGAACCGGTCAAGCTGCTGAGGGTGCGAAGGAGGGGTGGGGAGGCCCGGAACCGTGCCGCTACCTTGAGCTTCACTTCCTGATCCACCTTCAGCAACGAGGCCATGGCCAGGCCGAGCCGTGTCCGCTCCGCTGGGTGCCGGCGGTACTGTGAGCTCCGGGGAGGGCACCGGAGGGACCTGAGGAATCTCCGCTGCCCTCGGGACCCGGCTGCCCTCGCTGGCTTACTCACCGCTAGCTCGTTCCCTCCCTCCGTGCCGGCCTGCCGCCTGCCCGCCCGCTGCCTGCTAGCTCTCTCGCTCGCCCTCCCGGCTTTCGCCGCTCACACCGGAAGTTACGTCACAGCCAATCGCCGGGACTCCGGCGGACTGTGCACGTGCCCTGCGCAGCCGCGATAAAGTCCGGCTCTGCACGTTGCGGGCGCGGCTGTGGGCGGTCAGCTCTAGTTCCCTCGGATGATGAAGTGGGACGGAGGGTCTCGCAGGGTGAGGGATGCTGAGAATGGCGCCTTCAGGGCACTCAGGAACGGTTTGCTCTTCTGTCGTCCCAGAACTCGCTTCCATCGTGGGATTTCCTGTGCCGCTGCCGCCCGAAAACTAGCCGTCGCGCCCCAGTGACGTCAGCCGGAGGAAGCCCGCGGCCCGGGTGTGGAGTTGCCAGGTCCCGGTTGCGACTCCTTCTTCTTCCGCGGGCTACAACCAAAGAGAAGACAAATTCCTTTGTACTAGGCTCTCCTTGTTGTAGTTATCATAAACGTGCAGACCTCAGACGTCAATTACCTGAGGGGCAAATTGGTGTACAAAAGAGAGTAGGGTCAAAATAGTGTTTCCAGTGAATTCTGCACCAGAATCACACCTTCCCAGATTGTTGCACAAACTATCCATTTTGCTAAGGGAAGCCTGAGACAACATCCCCTCATTCACTAATTTATTCTATGTAGCTCTCAGCAATAAAATGGGACAGAGTACTGTGTTAGACCCTATGGCAGTGTTGGGAAGAGACTAGAAACATGTAAGTCATGTGTGTAAGTTAAAGTCTTCTAACAGTCACATAGCTCTCTCCTGGGAGCAGCTCTCCTGTCTTGGCCCCTCACACCTGAAAATGTATGCCTGCTCCAAGCTCATCTCTACCCCCTACTTGGTGTGGAGCACCTCTCAAGCTATTGAGTCGACCCCCTATCTGCAGTGGTGTTGAAACAACCAGACACTGGCAGATGAGAGCCTCAGCAGCTTGGCAGTCCCAGGTCCCCTGACCTCATCCCTTGCCGCAGCTTCCAAATCAGTGCCATTTCGAGGGACATGGACACAGTAGCCAAGTTCATTGGCGCGGGGGACTGCCCACAGTTGGGGTGGCTGGATCTGGGACTGGGATTGGGACTGTGTATGGGAGCCTCATCATCGGTTATGCCAGGAACCCATCTCTGAAGCAACAGCTCTTCTAGGGCTCCTTTGCCTAATGGTGGGCTTTCTCATCCTCTTCGCAGTGTGAAACAGCTGCCTCCACCTCCCATAGTTCTTTCTCCCTTGTCTCGTCTGTCCTGTACCTTTTCCTGTACCTTAGGAAGTCTGGGGAAAGCGGTTGGCTCAGAGTTTGACAGAGTGAAAACAAATACTATATTAATAAAAAAAGATAAAATAGGGGCGGGAGAGATGGCTCGGCGGTTAAGAACACTGTTCTTGCAGAAGATCCAGGTTCGAATCCCAGTACCCACATGGCAGCTAACAACTGTCCATAACTCTAGTCCCAGGGGATCCAGCAGCCTCTTCTGATCTCCGTGGGCAGTGCACTACAAGGGTGCACTTACCTACACGCAGGCAATACACGCATACACATAAAAATAATAAAAAAAATTTAATATTTTTTTAAAAAAGATAAAATAAGGGCTACAAGGATGATTCAGTGGTTAAGAGGCTTACTACTTTTTCAAAGGACCCAAGTTTGGTTTCTAGCACCCATATCCAGCAGCTCACAGTCGCCTATAATTTCACTTCCGAGAGATTCAGAGCCATCAGCTGCAGAGGGCACCTGCGTGCACATGGTGCACATAAACTAACAGAGGCATACACATATCCATATAAATAAAAATAAAAATATTTTTGCTTTTTTTTTAGATAAGGTTACTCTGTAGCCCCAGCTGGCCTGGAACTCTCCACGTAGACCAGGTTGGCCTTGAACTCACAGAGATCTGCCTGCCTCTGACTCCCTAATGCTGGGATTAAAGGCGTGCGCCACAACGCCCGGCTAAAATTGTTTTTTAATTTTATGTGTTTGACTGTTTTACATGTATGTAAGTGCACCCATGTCATGCAATGCCAAAAGAAGCCAGAAGATGGCATCGGATCCTCTGGAACTGGAGTTAACAGCTAGTTGTTTGCTGCCTTGTAGATGCTGGGTACTGAATCCTGGTCCTCTGCTAAAGCATCCATTGTTCTTAACCACCAAGCTAAGCCATCTCTTGTGTTCTAAATTTAAAAAAAAAATTTTTTTTTGGTCTTTTTGAGACAGGGTCTCCCTGTAGTCTCAGCTGGCCTGGAACTCACTATGTAGACCAGGCTGTCCTCCAGCTCACAGAGATCCTCCCGCCTCTGCCTCCCGAGTGCTGGGATTAAAGGTGTGCGCCACAACTCCGGCTTAAGAAAAAATTATTAAGAAAAAAAATATGGGACTGGAGAGCTGGCTCAGCGGTAAGAGCACTTGGCACAAAATCTGACGACCTACATGGTGGAAGGAGAAAGCCAACTTTCTCAAAGGCTGTCCTCTGACCTCCACATGCACCATGGCACTCACAAATAAATGTAATAAAAATTTTAAAAGAAAGAATACGTGGGGCTGGAGAGATGGCTCAGCGGTTAAGAGCACTGACTACTCTTGCAGAGGTCTGGAATTCGATTCCCAGCACCCACATGGCGGCTACGAGCCATCCTTAACTCCAGTTCCAGGGGAATCCGAAGCCCTCTTCTGACCTCCTAGGCATTGCACGACACAGGTGCACTCACTTACATGCAGGTAATACACTCATACACATAAAATAAAAATAATAAAATATTTTAAAGTAAAATTTAAAAAATAACATGTAAAACAACTAGCACAATGTTTAGACATAAGGCAGGTACAGAAAAATAATGACTATTGTTAGATGAATGACCTGATAGTGCTTAGCATAGTGAAGTTATTCTTTAGACATTAATTCTTTTATCCCTTTTATGTCCAAAGTCCTTTTCCACCTATTCAAGTGCAAATAGCCCATATGAGAGCATCCACCACACTCACATCTAAGTTTTCCCTTTAACTCTGCTTAACCATTAACACAAGTCCCAAGTAACTTTTCACACCAATCTGAAACTTCAAAAATTCTTTCCCAAATTAACTTGATCCTATTTTAAGTGTGCCACTATTCTGCATTTCTCTTGGAATTTATAGCTTTAGCATGTTTGCGGCTTTGTTCTCAACTGTTCTGTCTTCAGCTACATTGTAAGAAGACAGATGCACTCTCCTGTTCCCTTCCCCAAAGGTTTTTATATAGTACTCCATCAGCTGTCCTGGAACTCACTATGTAGACCAGGTTTGCCTCGAACTCACAAAGATCCGCCTGCCTCTGCCTCCCAAGTGCTGGAATTAAAGACGTGCGCTACCATGCCCGGTGAAAACAATTTTTATTGAATGAACACTATTCATTTCTAGGTGCTAGAAAATCATGGGCTCACAGATGTCTGGCTTAATTTAAATCCATGTCCACAGATCTCAAGCAAATACATGATATTGCCTAAGGTCTTACTACATGATCCTGACAAGTTTTCTCACACACTAATGACTGTCACACTTTCTCATCTCCTAAAACCTTCAACATTCTTTCTCTTTCACCTCGAGTTTATGGTCTTGGCTCATTCTTTATTGACAAGGCAGAAATGAATGGAAGTTCCTTACCACGAAATTGCCAACCTACCAACACTTTCTGCCTTTCTTCTTCTTCTTTCATTGAAGGAAGTGTCTCTCTTCCTATGAAAACGCAAACCTTCCTTTTGTACATTGGGTTCCATCTATTTTCAGTTCTCAAGGAAATGCTTCAGCAATTTTTCCACCCTCCCCCCACCAACTGAGACAGGAATTTGTGTGTACCTCAGGCTAGCCTCAACCTCACTATTGTAACCTAGGCTGGCCTTGAACTTCCCATCCTCTTGCCTCCTCCTCCTAAGTTTTGGTACTACAGGTCTGTACCACCAGGCCTGGCTGCAAATAATTGGACTTTAACAATAGCTAATTTTGTGCTCTTTGCCCCACCCCCTCTAACAACTAATGTATGAAATATAATTATTATTTTTAATGAAATAAATGTTGTTTTATCCTAAACACTATTTCTAAAATATAGGCACTGATAGTGTAAAAATAAATGCAATGGGGCTAGAGAGATGGCTCAGTGTTTAAGAGCACTGACTGTTCTTGCAGAGGACCCAGGTTTGAATCCCAGCCACCCACATGGCCACTAACAACCATCTGTAACTCCAGTTTCAGGGGATCAGATGCCCTCTTCTGACCTCCACAGGCACTGCACAACATAGGTGCACTTACATACAGACAGGCATAACACTCACACATATAAAATAATAATAAATAATAAAATGAACAAATACGCTCAACAGTTTGAGGCTGGCCATACCTACCAACTCCCCAGCCTTTCTTCTCCCTGATTGAGTCTTCCACTGAGATCTGAACTAACATAGATGTTCTGCTTAATCCCCCAGAAGGTAGGGTGGGCCTTTCCTGGATCCCTGAGCTGAGGTCTCCATAAAGAAATCAGTGAAAGTATTGGGCAGCTACTTTGGAAGATGAGGCAGGAGAATCTCTTGAGCCCAGGAGTTCAAGGCTAGGTTGAACAACAAAGTAAGACCCTATATCACAAACAAACTAACCCTGGCAGTTGCAACTCTGTAGAGACCCTAAAGAAAGTGGGAAAAGTAGATCCTTAAACTAAAATTTCTCCAGAAAAATCCCTTGGTGGGAACGGTATATCCTGAAGCCCTGGCACCAGGTCAGGAAATGTCTCCCAGGAAAGGATTTGTCATCTCACAGTTTGATAAATTAGCTTTTCTTTTGGAGCTATTTGGGTTTTTTAAATTTTGGTTTGGTTTTTATGGTCTTTTTGAGACAGTCTCCCTGTAGCCCCAGCTGGCCTGGAACTCACCATGTAGACCAGGCTGGCCTCAAACTCACAGAGATCCCTGTGCCTCTGCTGCCTGAGTGATGAGACTAAAGGCGTGTGCCACCATGCCTGTCTGGAGCTATTTGTTTTTATTTTATGTGTATGAATGTTTGCCTGAATGGAGGTATGTGTAC